AATTCCTTAAAAGTCCATTTTAATACTGTGTTACCACCTACGTGTAGGTCTTCATAGTCGTCGCCTTTCTTCTGGCTTTCCCATCAAAAATCTGTATTCATTCCAGTACTACATGCCCTGCCTATCTCACTCTTCCTTATTTTATCAATGTAAATATATGTATTTGCCTCAGAGTACAAGTTATGAAGCTTCACACTATGAAGTATTCTCCAACTATCTAATATTTCTTCTCTCTTTGTTCCACAAATTTCCTCAAAACCCTTTCTTCAAACACCCTCAGTCGTACGTCCTTCCCTTAGCGCCACATGTAGAGTTTTACACCTACACAAATTTACAGGAGAAAAATTAGATTTGTAAATTTTAATCTTTAGGTTTCTAGACATCAGATTGGAAGACAAAATGACCTGATAAATTACTCTCGCTAGTAAACACGACGTGAACTGTGCCACATTTTCAAAGATCCATTAGCTATATTTATGTTATGACGTTGTCCTGCATTCTGGTGACGAGACAGTAACATATACTTAGTTTTATCTGAGTTTACTTCTAGACCAACCTCCTTTCAATTAAAGTTTCTGTGTTTCTTTACGGTATCTAAGCTATCTCCCTGTACATTCACATCATCAGCGTAGACCAGCAGCTGATGTGTCTCATTTAATTTCAGTCCCACCTTGTTTTCCTAATGGCATATTCTAAAGGGAAGCTGGAAAGCAGTGGCGATAAAACATCTCCTTTTTCTAGACCATTCTGAATAGGAAATGTATCGCATAAATGTTCACCTATACGACTTTGCTATGCGTTTAACCGAAACACATTTTAATCAGCCTACTAATTCCATGAATACCCCAAACTCTATCAGAATATTGTACAATACTTCCCTCCTAATTGAATCATACGCTTTCTTGAAGTCTGTCTATAGCTGATGTACTGTCTCATTGTACTCCCATTTTTTCTCCGTTATCTCACAAATGTGAAAAATGTGATCAGTAGTTGACCTGTTACGTCTAAATCCACACTGATGATCGCCAATTTGAACTTAACCTTGAGAGAACGATATTGGATAAATTTTTGTATGAAGTTGATAACAGTGATATCCCACAACAATTACTACAGTCAGTTTTATCGCCCTGCTTGTGAATTTGTTCAATGAGGTATTCCTTCCTCTCATAAGGCAACACTTCTTTCTACTGTCTGTCTTTATTCCTGTTGCTCTCACTTGGAGCGGAGGGCATCTGTGAAACACTATTTCATTTCAGTTCCTTAAAACTTAGAAAATCGGTAGGACTCCTTGGACGGGGATCAGTGCGCCGCAAGGCCGATACTTACACAGGACAATACAGACACAGAAGAAATTAGCATTTGCATGGGTGGAATGAGAGAAACTACGAAATCCCTCAGGATAGCCTGGGCCCCGGCCGGGATTCGACCAAGAACCTTCCGAGTGAAAGTGCAGAGCGTTGCTGCTACACCAACCTGCTCGGTATCTTAAGTTGTTCCATCTCTGATATATGGGAAAATATAATGAAAATAAAATGTGAAAAACTGCTTTGATTTATCGAAACGCAAGCACTGACAAATGCATGGATTAACATTATAATATCCGATGAATGCCGTTTTCTGCGATGTGGCGCCGTGTAGATCTTGTGTGAACCCATGTTTCGGAGGAACGTATCGCCTCCAAATTCAGGGTAGAAAAGTCCGCGAGCAAGGATCCACCGTGACCAGCGGAAATGGTCTGCAGCCACCTGCTTGCGTGCTTTCCTCTCTCGCGGAATTTTCTACCCTGGAGGCAATACATTCCTCCGAAACATCGGTTCACACGGCGCCACATCCCAGAAGACGGCTATCTTCATAGTCACCGCCCTGAAAACCTCAAAGCTTACATTATAATATTCGTTTCAATATGCATCCTTCACTCGATCATTCTAGTTACATACTTGGAGAAGAGTACAAGTTATGAATCTTCCCACTATGCAGTTTTCTCCAACCTCCCTTCACTACATCTTTCTTCGGTCCAAATATTCTTATCAGCACCCTGTTCTCAGATTCATCTGCTTCATTGCATATTTTGTGGATCCATAGACGTTTACTCAATAAATTTCATACATACCGTACACTCTAAAAATGCATTAAGACCTTAAATTAAATTGGCCTTACATAGATTTTCATTAATAATCCTTCAGAAACTGTCTAATTACTTCATGGAGCTGCGACCTTCTTGAGAAGCCGCCAACTGTGCAGCTACTCAGAACTTCCCAACATTTTATTGAAGTTATTATTGTGTTCACAACAGTCCTCCAGTCGTCCCTATCCAGTGGAGGGCTCTTGTGAACACGGTTAGAAACACAAGTGATAATTCATCAAGGTATTATAATAAAATAGCTCTAAATAATAATAATTTTAATATACTTAATGGTAAGTCTTGTGCAACATGTTCAATAAAAATGTATCATATATGTGAACATGATACATCATCGCTATTACGCCTATAGTAGCTTTTGCATTACAAACCATCCCATGTAAACAAACTTAATATTAATAACCGAAAAATCTGATCATTCATTCATCATATGATAATTATTCAAATCACTTTCGCCTGCTATACTCGCAGACATTTAACAAGCAACAACAGAACGTCGTACAATTCATAAGGTACAACGTAGATGAAGAAACATTTTTACTGAAACTATTTAAACATTAATAATTTTAACTCCCACAACTCTTTTATTTATGACTTTACTAAGACCTATAGGCCGCGGCATAGCTCAAGCGGTTAGTCGCTGGCTTCCCACTGCGACGGTCCGAGTTCGATCCCGGGTCTGGTCAAGTGGGATTTGTGGTGAACAAAGTGGCGTTGAGGCAGGTTTTCTCCGAGTACTTCGGTTTCCCCTGGCAATCTTTATTCCACCAATTTCTCCATAATCACCCTCACCTATCATCTGGGGCTGGTACAATAGGCCAGAAGTGGCTGCAGTACAAGGGACTTAGGCCCAACCCACTAGCAATACAAAAAATTCCAAGACCTACAGCAATTGTAAAGCAAGTTCTCTTTATCGCCGAACCTTTGAAGATGGCCCAAAAAGGTCGAATCCTATAGGGCTATATAGTTAATGGGGTAATTTATATTAAACTCGTTTAAGCTGGATGGTTTGCCATTTCAAGATGTAAAAAAATAACTCAAAACTTTGTGTAAAATTACGTTCAGTCCCATAAGTAAAGTGCCACTTAAAACTAACAAACATATACTGAAATCAGAATAGGAAAGTAAAGTTGTCCCTGTGCTTAAGTATTTAAGCACTAAGCTATGAATACGAACGGAAGTGGAACTCGACCAAATTTAATATAGGTCACAATTCCAAGTGTGAGCGACATTGCTCATTTAGTTCGATAAATTCGAAGCAATGCATCATATTGCTAGACTTCAAGTATGAGTTTCATAAGGAATTTCACAGGTCACAGGAAGATAAATCGTATCTGAAGTCATACTAGACATTTGTGACATCTGAAATAAACAGATTAATTTCATTGTACGTATAGGAGAGTTGAGAGAATATAAATTCTCTAGAATGGCCTTTCGATAAAATCCGAACAGCAGAAGAGAAACAGAAGGAACATATAAAAGTGTAAAAACAAATTCTATAAAAATCTGCTGGACCAGAACAGGCTACCATGACACTGATGTTTTATTTTCATGTGTATGCTCCATTTGACTACTACGGCCCTTAACTTAGTACCTACTGTTTTCTTTGCGTTTTATATTATTACACTATTGTAGGAAATGGTTGTTTATAAGCAACAGCCTACGACCTGTATGAGGTTGAATGATTTTTCACGTGGCCTGACCTTATTGTCTGATCCCATTTAATATAATGAGGTCATCTATCATAGCAGTAATTAGGCCTACCTCATTCATGCACCTTACTTCAAAAGAATGGTTCTGAGAGGAGAAATATGAATACTGTTAATTCTCAGGAACACCAGTCTCTGGTAGCTCGGTCCACTCTGAAACCAGGAATCTAACGTTTCGGCAACACCTCTTCCAGTTTTGAATTTTGTTTTAATGAGTTTAATCCGCTCATTGCAATGAGACTAAGTCCATTGACTGAGAAAAGTACATCCATCACTTTCCAAACAGCCGATTAATTTTAATAACAGAAAAATAGGACGGATTGTGTAAGTTTTATTCATGATTGAGAACAGAGTGTATTGCCGTATGGATTTTTAATTCGATATTACCCGGTATAGCCCGATGTAAGTCTTTCCTTGTTACGATATTTCATGTACGCTGTTGTCAGTCTTAGGAAAGTTCCCTGTTTACATGCAGCATGCAGCACTCGCCTGTATCATGTTTGGAAAACCAGCAAGAAAAAGCTACATGCTAGATATTGGCGTACAGGGAAGAACAGTATTAAAAATAATCATAAAATGTTAGGTCTTCTGAGTTGAATGTATTTATCGGGATGATTGTAAGTTTCATGGAGGAATTTTGTGAACATTTTAATTAACCTCTGAGTTTAATAAAGGATGGCCAATTTTTTGACTAGCTCAGCCACTATTGGGTTCAGTAGAAGAATTCTGGTTTACTGAGTTAGACTAGCATTTACCCTGCTCGGCCCATTCTGCGTCTCGTTCGGAAGGCAGACATCTTCAGCTTCGTGCTGAGGTTTGCGCGTTTGCTCGTTTTAGTGGAGGACGCCGTGTATAAAGAGAACGTAAATTCATAATTCAACGCGAATTGCAATGTTATTATAACTTTAAGTAATTAATAGGATCTCAGTCATCAAGTTTATCAATGAAAGGTGTTCCATCAAAAATCCGTTATCCGCTTTCAACGTTCAGTTTACAAAAAAGAAAAAGGCTGAAACCGCGTTTCTTGTTACTCGCAGTGTTACAGAACAGAAAAATCATGCAAAAAAACCAGAAAACAACTGAATTTCACTGGGTTTGTAAAGTACGGTCTCTAAAACATCTTATTAAAAATTAATATGTATGGAGCTCACCAACAAAATCTGTTGCAGGGATCTCTACGGTCTGTGACGAAGCGGCGTGGGTGGAGGAAGCTACGTGACTCTACCGGGATTCCTCTCCACTCGCCGTCTCACTTCACCGAGACTGCTGGGGCGCTCTGGCGGCCTGGCTGCTACACACTTTGTGCCATATCCCGGCATGGCTGTGCATTGTATTTCGGCACTGCAACAATGGAAAGAAAATAGTAATTGATTCAAATAATTCACATAGAATATTTACATTACAGTTCCGTCAACAATACAACCACTTTATCCCCTAGAATTTTCACTATTTACAACATGTTTCGGCCCCAACCGGCCATCATCAGGTACTTCAACTCGCCAAAACTGTTACCTGCCTTGAATATCCTTCATATATTTCACGAGTAACTGCAGTGTGCTGTATTAATGTTGCGATTACGATCCAGACAACATTAGTCAGTTCACCATACACTGACTCGCTTTCTATTGCAGTAAATAAAATTCCATTAAAATTGTTGAAATTCAAGTAAATTTTAAAATTTTAATTTTAATTGTTCTTCTTGAATTTTGTACACTTCCTACAATATATATATATATATTTCGACCGTCTTTGCTTTGGATTCGGTGGCCCGTTGTTTCAATGTGCAAGCCCACCGTTGCTGTTACGTCTGAAATATGTAGAACACACATTTATTATTGCTTCTGTTTCCTATTCCTAGTGTTTTGTTATGTTGTTTGTTTTTCTACTCACTTGCCCCGTCCATACGCCGTTCACTCCACCAGTGTATGGTGTTCTCCTCGCTGTAGTAGATGTCATGCTTCTGTGTTTTGTTATGTTGCTTGTTTTTCTACTTACTTGCTCCCTCTGTACGCCGTTCACTCCACCAGCGTATGGTGTTGTCCTCGCTGTAGTAGATGTTATGCTTGTGTGTTTTGTTATGTTGTTTGTTTTTCTACTCACTTGCCCCGTCCATACGCCGTTCACTCAACCAGTGTATGGTGTTCTCCTCGCTGTAGTAGATGTCATGCTTCTGTGTTTTGTTATGTTGTTTGTTTTTCTACTTACTTGCTCCCTCTGTACGCCTTTCACTCCACCAGCGTATGGTGTTGTCCTCGCTGTAGTAGATGTTATGCTTGTGTGTTTTGTTATGTTGTTTGTTTTTCTACTCACTTGCCCCGTCCATACGCCGTTCACTCAACCAGTGTATGGTGTTCTCCTCGCTGTAGTAGATGTCATGCTTCTGTGTTTTGTTATGTTGTTTGTTTTTCTACTTACTTGCTCCCTCTGTACGCCTTTCACTCCACCAGCGTATGGTGTTGTCCTCGCTGTAGTAGATGTTATGCTTGTGTGTTTTGTTATGTTGTTTGTTTTTCTACTCACTTGCCCCGTCCATACGCCGTTCACTCAACCAGTGTATGGTGTTCTCCTCGCTGTAGTAGATGTCATGCTTCTGTGTTTTGTTATGTTGTTTGTTTTTCTACTTACTTGCTCCCTCTGTACGCCTTTCACTCCACCAGCGTATGGTGTTGTCCTCGCTGTAGTAGATGTTATGCTTGTGTGTTTTGTTATGTTGTTTGTTTTTCTACTCACTTGCCCCGTCCATACGCCGTTCACTCAACCAGTGTATGGTGTTCTCCTCGCTGTAGTAGATGTCATGCTTCTGTGTTTTGTTATGTTGTTTGTTTTTCTACTTACTTGCTCCCTCTGTACGCCTTTCACTCCACCAGCGTATGGTGTTGTCCTCGCTGTAGTAGATGTTATGCTTGTGTGTTTTGTTATGTTGTTTGTTTTTCTACTCACTTGCCCCGTCCATACGCCGTTCACTCAACCAGTGTATGGTGTTCTCCTCGCTGTAGTAGATGTTATGCGTGTGTGCAGTGCTTGTTTCTGCATTTATAATATACCTTGGTGCTGAGGGGTGGCGGGAGATATGTGTACTGTTTTGTGTAAATGTTGTGTAATGTATCGAATATGGAATTGTGTGCGTGTCATTCATTATCAGATTATCCTTACTGACTTTTTTAAATGTGATACTTTTCCAATGTGTTGGAATATTTTCCCGTTCTTCCTAATGTTATGATTTCCTTAGTATCAGCCTCTGTTCTATAGATATGTTCCGTATTTAATATATGGTCCGAGTATCCTGTATTACTATTGTTGCTCCTAATATCGTGAATGTGTTCTTTGTATCTGGTATTAAATATATTATAGATATGTCGACTCGCAACACCAAAAAAACAAAACAAAAAAGTTACCTTTACATACAACGGAAAGGGAGTAAGGGGAATTACTAAGCCTTTTCGGGATACGAAAATAAAAGTGGCGTTCCGTTCGTGTAACACAATACAGAACATATTAAGACCACGGCCACAGTAGACAAATATAGCAGAAGCGGCATTTGCTTCAGCTAGTGTATAAATTACTCACATTCCATGTAACACGGAGTGTTCATTACCGTTGTTTTACAAGAGCCCGTCACTGGACCCTATCCAGCCTTAACGGATTCAGTCTGTGCCGTTATGCCATATTCTTTTCATATCAATTTCAATCACGTGTATTAGTGACAAATAACGCGGGTTCTGGTTTGGATGAAAGGTTTTATTTACTCCTGATAGGCACCACCAGTAATTACATGTAATTATAGCGCTATCGCTAGTTATACACTTTCCAGTCCACCGTTGCACACGCACTAGGATTCTCAGTTTCCACTAGTCGTCTCCTAGCAACAGATCTCAATACAGAAATTAGCACTTCATATCTCTATGAAGTCTTCTTGCTATTTATTTTTCAATTCCTCTGGAACCTCGGAACTAAATATTCTTCTGGGCTCACTCCTCCAGTTTAAGACTTGTAAAACGTAACTGCCTTGAACGAATTCTGTCACTCTTGCTTATATCGACATGGAAAGGACATGGATATACAGTAAACACATATCACGTGATCACTATCCAGATAGCCTATTGGATCGTCGGTCGGATCTACAGATAATCCAGCTTCCCTTATTGTTTCGTGTTGGACGGTGTTTACAGAGCGGTTGCCTGACAACGCGTTGATCAAATCCGTTATAATATTATCCTCCCAACCTTCTCAAAATCATCTCTTCGTCAGCTTTTCCGACTAATATTATTTATGCATTTCTCATAAATCCCGTATGTGCTACATGTTAGCCTCTTTGATTTCTTATAATATTACTGAAGAGTACAAATTATGAAGTTCCTCACAACGTGGTTTCCTCCGTTTTCCTATTACTGTTTCTCTGTTATCAAGTCCTAATACATCCCATCATTTTGTCGGTGATGAACATTCTTTCACACATTCAGAACATGTTAAACTGTAGTTTTGTATATTTTAATAATTAGGTTTTCATATGCGGGTCGCCGCGATGAAGTTTCTAAAACGAGTGTCATTATTCTCCGAATTCAGCATACTCTTCCATTTTTCCTGAGCATAATTCCGATCTGTTACTGTTATTCCCAAAGACTCTACTTGAATACCACACAAACAAAATATACAGGAAGATCCAAACCATCAAAAAAGAAAATGGGCCGTTTTTACATATCGAGGAAAAGATAAATAACTAAATAGAAGAATGCAGTCTTCTGGGATATGACGTCGTGTAGATACTGTTTTAACCGACGTTTCGGAGGAACATATCCTCTGAAACGTCGGTTAACACAATATCTACACGACGCCACATCCCAGAAGACTGCCTTCTTCATATTCACCGCCGTGAAAACCTAAAATTTTACAAATACTTAAGTTTTTAAAAAACACGCAACTTAGAATATATTTTCGTACAAAAAACGCAATCAGCAACATACTGAAACAACACACAGAGATCGAAAAACAATTTACGTATGAACGACGTACACATCGAGACACATAACCCAATAATTCATACAGTGCATGAACTTGTGATATACAGCACTAGATACGCTACATAGAAAGATATATAAGCAAGAACAACTACACTATGTTTAGTATACAGGGAAACCGCACTACGAGAAATAACACATACACGGAAGAAATACGACACGCAAAAACGTAAGTACACATAATTATAATATTAGATATATGAGGAAAACATAATAAAAACCATAAATATATTTATATTGATCATAGTAATATACATTATGCAATGCAGTACGATGGCCGCAAAAGAATACGATGACAGCGTTCTAGTCGTGAGATAAAAACTAAACATTGACGTGCATGACGAGCACGGTAGACAAGTGAACCGTGCAGGGTGACCCGAAATCCGCAGATATGATATTAGTACATTCAAAATTAATACACACTTATTTTTAATTATTAGATTATATTAAAACTACAGTTTTAAATGCAGTAAGGCAGTAGACAATGTTCAATAAATTAATTTTATTATTAACTATTCTTGTTGTCACAATTCTCTTCCTAATTTTCCCGAAAGTTTTCTCAATACTCTCTGCATTATTGCAAAGATGCGATTAAAGAAGTGTTACAAAAGGGAAAATTCCTACGGCCTGCATGTCGGTAGTGCCTAAAATGGCTTTTAATGCTTTCGAAATTTGCTTGAGATTGTACACAAACTGCAGTCTTCATTTCTACTTGATGGGCACTGTGGAGCCCTTGATGCTTATAAGAATTAAGTCCAAACAAGCCTACATCCATTTCCTTTCTGATATCTGTGGACACGAAGGAATTAAATTGACATTAGGACGAGAGTAGATGAAAGTGGAAAAACTAGACATAGAAAGATGGTGGGGAGGCGTTTTAGTAGCGAGACCAGTTCATTTGGTGAGCTCAGACCCGACAACATCTCTAAGGCACGTCCCAGCTTAATCTGCTAGAAGCTCAAGAGGGTGGAACTTAAGGGGGTGCGGGGTTGGATTAAAAAAGAAACCCTTCCACCCTTCCTTACAGTTCAGTTTCTCCATCTAGCAAGTTGGTCACTCTCTATTACCTCTGAATTGAACCCCTCCCCTCTCTTTGATGACATTCCACTTCAGCCTGCCTCACTCGTCCCAACTCGTGCACTTGGACTAACGGGTAAATACGTCCATTTTGTGTTTCAGGTTCTTGCAGCTTCAGTTGATAAAACGAATACAGACCGAATCCCCAGGCACTGAATTTGCAGATTCCGCGGTATGTATCTTCTTCGAAGGATAACGAACAATTACCGCTTTCCTTTCTATGAGGATTGGTCAAAACGATTGATATAT